CTGGAAAAGCTCAGCAGGTCTGGCAGCATCTGTGAAGTAAAAAAGAGTTAACATTTCAGAACATTCTGAGGAAGGGTCACCGGACCCGAAACGTTAACTCTGTTTTCTCCTTCGCAGATGCTGCCGGACCTGCTGAGCTTTTCCAGCAACTTTGTTTTTGTTCCTAACATTCTGGAAGTTTACACAGGCAAAGCAGTAGCACATGCAACAAGTTCACTGACGTCTTCATGGAATGCGCTTACATTTAAGTTGAAAGCTGGATGCTCAAGAATGCTACAATCAAATAATTGGCAAAAATGAATTGGTTCATAAATTGTTGTAAAACATTAGGTGAACAAAATTTACCAAAGAAGTTCCAAGTGTATAAATTTCACCTTCCCCTTCTCCTTCTCACTTAAAGGACATTATATAGGCAAATAATTCTAGATAAAATATTTCGGAATTGTCATTCTGTTACACCAAATATAGACTGACTGAAGAAAAACAAACTTGAACATTCCTTAAAATAGAGATGTTTCCAAAGCTTTATGTTTTACACTCAACAGGATAAGAATTCTAAATTTAAATGATCACAAGAATTTGGATCACAGGAGAAAAAGGTGCATACCAATCAGCAAATATTGATTGATTGATTGAGGAACACTGTCATGGAGCATTGCCATTGGAAACTACAGGCTCCAGGTAATCCCAAAAAAAAACGGAAGTGCTCATTTCCAACATTCTTTTCTCTTTGCAGAGTTGTTCCCTGTCTACGAATGCATGTTGTTTCGAGCAAGACTGTGAACATGTTGAGCTTGACAGATCTTTTATAAACTGGTTGTCAGTGCAACTATGAGCACACATAGGATTGCACAGCAGGTGCTGCCCAATCATGGAATCACATCTGACAGTGGACATTTCAATTTGGATTTTGCAAGTACACGTTAGATGAGTACAGTCTAGTCGGACTCCACTTTCTGTGAGCAACTAAAACTACTACAAAATTATGTTTTTGCTTACTGGCACATGGAACAATAAGCATATAGATTCCATCCAATGTAGCTTCCACTGCTTGTCCATACAGATTCTTCCATGGTATTTTCAGTTCAAGTTTACCTAAAAATAAACAAAGTTTTGTCAAAATGCAAATGAACATAGGCAACTAAAAATCTAAAGTCCCGCAGGATGGCAAATACTGAAAGATCAAGAGTTTTCTCCCCCACACACATGCCAGAGATGAAGAAATTTCAGTTAAGAGAAACCCCATGGGCTAATAATACAAGTTTTGTCCAGCAACACAGACTTGGACAAATATGACAAGTTTAGAGGTTTTTGTTTTAAATTTGAAGTGATCAATTTGACAATTCAAATCAAAATATGATTTATAATTTCTCACAGCACAGCTTTTTTCTTAAGGAAAAGGGATGCACCTCATGAAAGATATCCTACAATGGATGCAAAACTATAGGACAGGAAACAACGTAAACAGGAGGAGTTGCTTGGATTGAAGAAGTGTTTTAGTCATGAATGAGTATGAATCTTCTTGCAAATGCAGATTTAATCTCAGGCATTGGGAACAAATTCGCTTGTAACAAAATAGGAGTCTCAGACACAGCAAAGGGCTATAACAGACACCAACAGATATAGGCAGCTTAGAAGAATGAGCCAAAAAAAAAAAGTACAACTTACTACGAAATTAACTTCTAACTCTACGTCCATCACATCTCACCCCAAAACAGCCAAGCCCCAACCCCAGATTTTACGGAACAGTCCTGTAATTATTGGGGTGGTGGACCAGTGTCGTAGGTTTGCTGCCAGGATATCCTTTATCTCGTATTTTCAGAGCAACAACTCAGATTGCTCCTCTCCTCAGCAAAGGCCTTTGATTCTTGTGCGCGTTTAATACGCACGTGATTCCCTCCCCAGCTCCAACTCAAACTCCCCGTACCTCTTGTTGTTTTGCCATGTGTCCCGAGTTACCAACACAATCAAACATACCCTCGACACTACAGTAACTTCTCATCTCACTCTTACCCACTCATCTATGCACAAAACTGCCAGATCCAAACAGGTTGCAAATCAAAGATCGTTCCAAAATAAAATGTTGAGATTCTAGATATAGGGCACAAATGCAATAGTACATGAGTGAGAGTGTGTGTGTGTGTGATCGATAGGGGTAGGGATAATCAAGAGAACCGTTCCCCCTTATCCTTCCAGAATCTCCCCTCCTCTGGCACCTACCAACACCCACCAGCCATCTCGGTTGCTAAAATAATTTCTATTTACTTCCTAAGCATTGATCACCCCCATCCTGAACTTCTCAAACAGATTGTCAACTCCAAAATTTCCCAAAACTATTGAAACGATTGATGTGAATTCCTCTAATCAAGTTTCCACCATTAAATGTACAAAAATAGCTCTTACAAAAGTCACAAGTGACATCCTATGAGGCACAACAAAGGTAAACTTGCCCTCATCTTTCTTGGTCTTCCTATCTTTGACAGTTGACTATGTTATATTGCTTGTCAACCATTTACCAAAACAAGAAGCAGGAGTCAGTCTGTTTTCCACAACCGTTTAATTGTGTTTCAGTGTTCAAAACAAAGTCCAGCCTGTTCTCAGCTTTTCCTAACCAATTAAAAACAAACTTTTTTTAAATCTTAAAACCAAAGTAAAATCCGACTCACCCTGCTTTATCTGCAAATCTACCAACTCAAAAAGCACTAGAAGTCAGAATACAAATCTTAAATTCCTTCCTAATTCAGTAGGCAACATTCTTTTAAAACTCATTTGTGCCAAATATAAAACTGTCCACACCCATTATAACGATGCCCGATAGTTTTCTTTTCCCATCACAGCACCAATAAAACACTGCATGACTTTTCCAACATTCTCAGTATTTGAAAATTCACAATGCATTCCTATTACTTGTAAGGAATGTGATTTTACAGTCTGATTCTTTTGTAATATTACCATGTTCACCAAATTTTTTACAGGCCTCTCCATTCCTTACTCCCCTTTCATCAAAAGTCCTGTGCAATGTCTTAATGCTATCTGACTTTTTCCTCACTCCTTTCCTGCCAGCATATAGAATGGAGAAAGTGGAGTTAATAGTTGTATACTCTAGAGTCAGAGGATCATCACATAATATGGAAGGCAATTTTGGATTAGTTACATTATTAATTGGCATGTATGGAAAATGCCAACCATTTGCAAAGGTTTTTGGCATGTACTGCCCATACGAGAGCTCTGAGCAATCTGCAATTTGGCTGATCTGCCAGTATGTTGTATGATAACTTAAATCAACAACTGATCTCTTTCACACAAAAAATCACTGCTTAATGATTCTGTAGTATTTGTAAGTACATTTAAGTTTATACATATGCTCCTAAACCTGTAATTTGCAAACTCCCCTCCATTATCTATTGGCAAGTTTGTTGGCGTTCCCAAGCCAGCGCCATTTCCATAACCTTATCTACTATGCTGAATCCAGTGGCCCCATCTACAAGATGTGATCAATAAAAATTTTTGATCTTTGTCCCATTCTTTTCAGTTCATAACCGCAACTTCATTACATTCGAGTTAATGGAACACTTGAAACCAGGCACAGTGGTATCTTCCACTATTTGATGCACTTGTCACATTGAGATGTGGTATGTTTAACAATGGATTCATATTCCTCATCTACAACGTTAGCAGTAGCCTTAATTTTTGCGACAGTGTGTAAATTGTCTACATATCTTCCAGGTCAACACTTCTCATTGAACACTCCAGTTTGGCTAGAGGTTAATAATACTTCTGAATGTATGAGCAAAAAAAAAAAAAAAAATAAAAAAAAAATAAAAAACACTTGTTGCCTCAAAGCCATAGAATGAAGGTCCTTATCAGTAAATTGCAAACTTACATCTTACCAAAGAAATGCTTTATCATTCTCTAGGCCCAACCCCCTCTTCGTTTTGTTCACTGAAGACCTACTTACTACATCACCCAGGACCACACCAGTGCTCATGAAATGATGTATTTGTTATTTAAGAAGAGTGGTCCTTCTTTGTGAAAGATGCTAATGGTAATTTCATCCTCGACTCAAAGCAGGTAGTGCTTTCATTTTCTTTAATTTACATTTGTGTCTTGTGAAGTATTTCCAAATAGCAGTTTAGCCAACTGGCCACACACACTGAGAAAACATCCTATGGTCCAGCTGGACTATGGTGACTTTACGAAGGTGTAATGATCTCCGGTTTCTCCTGCAGACATTTTGAATGGCTGCAGGACAGAACAGGGTAACTTGTGCCTGCGCAAGTTCTCTGCAAGAGAAATTCAGCTATCCCCACACCTCCATCCAGGCCAGGATGCCCTGCAAAGTTTTATCTTCAGCTAATTATTCATTTCCATTTTGAAAGCCATAATTTAATCTGTCTCGATCGCACATTCAAGTAGTTCTTTCAAGATCTTAACTACTTGTTACATGCAGAAGTTAGTCCTCTGTCACTTTCGCCTCTTATTTTTCACCTTCTCTCAATAGCTTATGATTCTCATTGCTTCTAATGGGAACTGTTTCTCTTAATTTGCTCTACTCAGTCTCCTCGCAACATTGAGCAACTCAAATTTTAAATTTCTCTTCTCCAAATTGAAGAAAATCTCACATCAACATTCTATTCATATAACTGAATTCCCTCACTTCCTGTGTTCAAAAATGGATGCAATTTTCCAGTATGGGCCAAACAACTTTTATTAAAAATGTTCAGAGAAGCAACAGTTGTACTCTATGCTTGTATTTATAAAGAAATGATCCCATGTGTTATTTTTTTAAAATGTCTCTTTTTCAATCTGCCCTGCCATCTTCAATGATTTATGGATATAAACCTCCTGGTTTTTCTGTTCTTGAAACCATTACGAATTATATTACATTTGAAATAATTGCCATTTCTTGTTCTTCCTACCCAAATGCATTATTTCATACTTGCGTGCGTGACAATTTTTATCTGCTCTGCTTCCACACATTCCACCAGCTTTAGTCCTCTTAAAATTCATCACCAGAATCTTCCAAGTTCAACTGAAATTCCACCCTTCACATTTCAAATTCAACCACAATTGCAGATATCTAACAAGCAGTATTGTTCAAACTACCATTTTTGTCCCCCCAACCAGAAAATCCACACCAATCGTCACACACTGCCAAATTATGGACTTAAAACAACAGGATAGTATTTTGACTCACCAAGTTAGTGTGCCTTCAAGTCAACCTGCCTATTCTTGGAGTCATAAAAAAAGTTAAAAGTTTCTTTTAAATATACACAGTTCCCAAATTTATCTGGCTTTCTGCACTGAACAAGAACTATTATTTATAACAAGGAATTAAACTAAAGCTACAGTAAAATAAATATAAACCACTCGCATTTAATACTACGAATTAAAACTCCAATCCCCTTATGAACACCACCGGTGGCACGCACATGAACAGGGAAAATGGGTTACTGGCAGAGGTAGAAAAACTGGAAAGCTGGCTCAGGGTCTTGGCTTCCAGATCAGATGTTGAGATGATCCTTCTTCAGTGGCTGTTTCTTTCTTTGGGTGCTTCCATTAGTTTCTAAGTAATAGAGTAGTTGACGCACTTGAAAAATGTGATTGAACAATTCAAAAGTTACAGCTTACAACAACTGGTTTAATATCAGGTTTCAGCTGAACTTTTGACTAGAGTACAGGCAGCTTCTGGGATGAGAAGAAGTCTCTCACTCTATGGTTCAAACTGCCTCTTGCCTTGGGTTTCACGTTTTCAAAGTGTCTTTTCAAATCATGCAGCAATTTTTTCAAACACTGTCTTAAATTAGTTCCCTCATTTCAGTCCACAACTTTTAAAAAGAAAAATTAAACGACACAATCCTTCCTAAAATCTGACTCAGTTCAGTTTAATTCCAGCCTTCGTCACTTACAGCACTTCAGTCAAAAACTTCTTCACTTTCTTTCAGTTGTGAACGATCCAAGATTCAACACTTCATTAAATCCAATCCTCTCTAGGTGCTTCTGCCCCCTTCACTCTCCTCTGGCCTCATCCGTTCTTCAAATTGTACACCTTGCTATGTTATTCACAGTACGTTTAACCTTCCTCTTTCTGTCCCTTATGATCCTAGAGCAGACTGCCAATTTTATGCTCTCACAAACTAGAGCACCAACTTTGTTTGTGTTTCAGATCCCAACAGAGTGTTGAAGAAACACACCAGCTCAGGGCAGCAACTATAGAGAGAAAACAGAGTTAAATGTTTCACGTCTAGTGACTCTTCATCAGGACTGTTATTCTCTTCAGAGATGCTATCTGATTTGCTGCATTTCTCCAGCACATTGTTTTGCTTCAGATTTCCAGCACCCACGGTTGCGTACGTGTTTGTATGATCTGGTTAGAATGATGATTATTAGTCCCAAGGTAGCCAAAAAAAGGGGAGATCCAGGGTACTTACTAAAAAAAAAAGTTCATGAAAAAAATTCCACAGTTTTGAACATACAACAGTCTGCATGTACAACCTACTTCCAACACAAAGGATGAGCATGTGATAAACATGGATAGTAGACTGCAATTGAGCAACCCACAGGACATATCAAGTAACACTTGCAATCAATACAGACCAAAGATTTCCCAGTAACTTCCTCCAATCGTAGATCATCAAGTCTCATTGAACTACCCCAAGGATTACAATGCTTCACCTTTGCTGATCTGTCTGAAACTCTCTCTCCAGTGTCAGTGTCATTCTGTCAAACTGTGTCAACGACTGCTTCTGTTCTGGTTGCCTACACTCCATTCTGGGTTCATAGTACCCAAACTCCAAAATGACATTCTAGTACTTCTTTACAGGCACAACTCCAATTTTTCACCTCCAGCCAGCTTCAAATTAGCTATCTCTCGGTTTTTTCCTTGAACTGTACCCTACCCACTCAGTTTTATGAAGCAAATATTGCTTATGGGCTTTATACGTCCAATCTTCAGCTGCATTGAAGTATTTATGCTTGCAGGCTTCTTCCAAGCCCCTCTCAGCTACTCCTAACAGAAGTCAGTGATCTTCTCAGATCTCAGCGAATTCAGAGTCTTGACCATGTAGAGCCAAATCTAGGGTGGCACTGTGGCACAGTGGCTCAATGGTTAGCACTGCTGCCTCACAGCACCAGGGAACCAGGTTCGATTCCACCCTCAGGCAACTATGTGTGGAGTTTGCACATTCTCCATGTCTCCATGGGTTTCCTCTGGGTGTTCCAGTTTCCTCTCACGGTCCAAAGATTGCAGGTTACATGGACTGGCCACGTTGCAGTTCTTAGAGGACAATAGTTACAATGTGGAACACAGCAGGGTAGCAGTTCGTGAAATAAGACCTTATTTGGCGCACTATGAACAGCTTCTTCATGAAGAGTAAGGGGAAAGCAGCAAAAGCTGGATGCCTTTAAGCCAACCCCCAAGAAACAAACAAACAGTCAGAAGACAATTAACCACAGCCATCCACTTCTGGATTAACAATTTTTCGCCCTAACCCTGCAATCACAACTGCACCTGATGGTGATGGTGATGATGATGACAAACCTCAGCCCCTGCGTTAACAATGGAGTAACTTCAAATCTCTTCCCCCATCAAGTCATCTTGACTTTACTTCGCCCAAGTTCAGGTTTTAAATTTACTTTTATTCATTCATAGATATGAATTAAACATTCATTGAAACTGTGCTATCCTCTGTGTTAGGCTTTTTGAGTGTCTTTTTTTGGCGGTCTGCCGCTAACCCATCTTTTCCCATAGGCCCCATTATTTCTATAGTGTAACTTTCTATAACTCAGTGTTGTGCAGGAACACAACTATCACATTATAGCAGAACCGACTGTAGTAACAACATTCAATAATCTTTCACAGATTATACTGGAAATGTGAATTAGAAGATTGAAATCTTTCTCACATACTTGTTACTCAACTTAGCAAGTCTGAACTTCAACATCCTTATTAATATCGGCCAGTTTTGCAAATTTACTACAAACTCACTTAGTTACTGATCAACAGTTCAAAGTGCCACAAGAAACATTAACAAGCAAGAGGGTTTACATAGACATAATAAAAAGAAAATTCTGCAAAGTGTCCAACAGGTCTGGCAGCATGTGTCAAGAGGGAAAAAGAACAACTTGCACCTTGGTTGATTGCCATTCTTCAGAACTGGGTCAAGTCAGAGGGAGATAACAGGCTTGAAGTTGAATAAGGTTAGCAAGTTAAAAGGAAACGGTAATTTAGTGATGAATTCTATCCAGATGATAGGGCATAAAATTCAGACACCAGTCAAATAACTGAATCTAGAAGATGAAGTTCTGCTAGCTTCATACATTATAACAGCAATATGGAGAGGATAAAAAAAGTACTTACTAACATGACCAGCTTTAACTTTGAATGGAACATTAAGCTCACTCTGTAAAAAGAAAATGTAATAAAAATCAGTATTTTTGTTTAAAGCCATTATACTCCGATATAATTTACCCTCAATAACACCCTCAAGATATTTTAACCTTTGTTCTAGCAAATGTCGTCATTACATGTTCTGTACAGTAAGGATTTTAAATCACCGATAAAGCAAAACCATTCCCTATTCACGAAGCAGCTCTTTTTTAAAAATGAAGCTCATGTAACAATGCTTGTGCAAATCAAACATAACCTAACACAAAAGCAAAATGCTACAGATGCTTGAAAATGAATAAAGATAGAAAGTAGGTAGATACCTAATAGGTCATGCAGCAGAAAGAGAAAACAATTTAAAGGGCTCAACTGAACAAGGCACCAGAATGCTTTGACCCAGTTTTTTGGGGGGAGTAATGGGGTTGGGATGGAAAGTGAAGACATAACACCAGAAGTCTTGCAGCCAAACTTTAAGGTCCAGCCAATTAGATACCAAGTTTTCCAAAATTTGAACTCGAACATGCAATGTTAGGTCAGGATTTGAATCCCTGTGTAGATGCGCTAAAAAACTTGCACTAGGATTTCTGACAGGCAGGCAAGCAGTGAGCAGGATGTCCAGTCAATGTTATGAACCTGTAACTTCAAACTTGCTGGTGAAGGAGTGCAAAATCTAACTACACATTTCTTGTCAATATTTCATTAAAATTGATAAAAGGTAGAAATGTCAAAAGTTAAGCCAATGAAAACAGGGAGTGGCAGGAAGACAAAAAAGGTTTGTGACAGAAGAGAGGGCAGGGTCATTAAAGGACTAAATGATTCTTGTCACAAAACGTTAAAAGAAAGTGAGAATGAGTACAGTAAAAAGAAATAGGTATGCCCAGATGAGGCAAGACTGGCTACATAGCAGCCGCCTGAACACAATAGGAAGGAAAATAGGAACTTGGAAGATCGTCCTTTCAGCCCAACATGTCTAATCAGCCATACAACGAGATGGCTGATATGCCATCTAAACACCATTTTCCCCACACTATCCCCATATTCTTTGATAAGTTTCTCCCAAAAATTGAAAGTATCAGTTTTAAATATACACTATGGCTCAGCTTCCATGGCCCTCAAGTACAGAATTGCGAAGATTCAAGATCTTCTGAATGAAGAAATTCCACCTACTCTGGGTCCTAAATAACCTACCTCTTATTCTGAGACTACATATATCTTGGTTGCAGACACCCAACAAGAGAAAACATCTTTTCTGCATCTACCCTATCAAGCCCTCTGGGCATTTTTGATGTTGCAACGAGATAATCTCATCATCTAAAACCTTAGAGAATGAGCACCCAATCTTATCAATCTCTCCTCACAGCACAATTCACCTTCCAAGGGGGTAGCTTGAAACAAAATCACCACTGCCAAGAAAAAGGTGTTGGGAGAACTCTGAAGACTGAGGAATCCCCAGGACCAAACGGCATACATAGACTTATAGAGATGTATAGGATGGAAACAGACGCTTCAGTCCAACTCGTCCATGTTGGCCAGATATCCTAGATAAATCTAATCCCATTTGCCAGCATGAGGCCCATATCCCTCAAAACCCTTCCTCTTCATATACCCATCTAGACGCCTTTTAAAATATCATAATTGTACCAGCCTCCACCACTTCCACTGGCAGCTCATTCCATACACGCATCAGCCTTTGCGTGAAAAAGTTGTCCCTTAGATCCCTTTTAAATCTTTCCCCTCTCACCTTAAACCTATGCCCTCTAGTTTTAGACTTTGCTACCCTGGGGAAACAACCTATCCATGCCCCTCATGATTTTATAAACCTCTATAAAGGTCACCCCTCAGCCTCGAACACTCCAGGAAGACAGCCCCATCCTATTCAGCCTGTCCCTATAGCTCAAACCCTCCAACCCTGACAACATCCTTGTAAATTTTTTCTGAACCCTTTCAAGTTTCACAACATCCTTCCTATAGCATGGAAGCTAGAACTGCACACAGTATTCCAATAGTGGCTTAACCAACATCCTGTACAGCTGCAACATGACCTCCTAACTCCTGTACTCAATGCACTGACCAATAAAGGCAAGCATACCAAACGCCTTCTTCACTATCCTATCTATCTGCAACTCCACTTTCAAGGAGCTGTGAACCTGCACTGCGAGGTCTCTTTGTTTAGCAACACTCCCTTACCCTGATTTGCCTTTCCAAAACGCAGCACCTCACACTTGTCTAAGTGAAACTCCATCTGCCCCATGGCCCATCTGATCAAGATCCTGTTGTACTCTGAGGTAACTTTCTTCGCTGCCCCAGGTCTTAAAAGAAAAGTGACAACAGGAGTAGTGCAAATATGGGTTATCATCTTTGAAATTTCCGTATATAATTGAAGGATTCTAGCAGATATAAGAAAAAAACATTATATATGAAAGAAGAAGGAAAGAAGCAGAAAACCACTGACCGGTCATCTGAACATCTGTCAGAGAGAAAATTATTAGAATCCACTACTAAGGATGAAATAATGATAGGGTCAGTCAGTAAGAAAGGGAAAAAACTGTTAACTAATGTAATTAGTCTTTTGAGGAAGTAACAAAGAAGGCAGATAAAGGGGAACGTGTGGATTTGGTGTATTTGATTTACAAAAAGCTTTGACAGAGAAGCCATATAAAACAATACTACCCAAAAATAAAAGCTTATGGATAAAGGAATGGTTTAGTCAAAAGAAATGAAAAGCAGTATACTACTTAAATAGAGATTGCAGAACTTGGGAGATCTGGATGTCCTATACACGAGTCATAAGTTAATACGCAGGTACTGCAGATCATCAGGAAAGCAAATGCAATGTTGACACTTATTACAAGCAGAACGAAGACAGAAGAGTAAAGGAATTTAGGGACAGAACTTGGCGATATCACATCTGGAAGTACTGGGTGCACTTGTGATCCCCTTATTATTTTAAAAAAAAACAATATTATTGTATTAGAAGCAACTCAGGGGAGATTCACAACTCATTCCTGGGACAAAGGGCTTATGTTTTAAACAAAGGTTAAAAACCTTAGGTCTACACATACTGGATCTTAGAATAATGAGATGTGATTTTAATGAAAACAGAAGATCCTCAGGGGACTTGATAGGATGAATTCTGCGAGGATGTTTCCTTTTGTAGGAGAGATTCAATCTAGGAAACACAACTTAAAAATAAGAAGTTGTCTTTTTAAGACCAAAATAAGGACATTTTCTTTTGTTTCAAAGGGTCATTTATCTGTGGTGTTCTCTTCTCCAGAAAAAATTGGATACTAAGTCACCTACGTATTCCAAGTTCAACAGATTTTTGCTAATCGAGTGCGAGTGCGGTGTCGTACTGGAAAGGCAGGCACGTTGAAAAGTACAGCAAAGGGCCAAAGAGCCTCCTCCTATTCCTACATTGCCTTGGTCCTTTTAGCACACCATGGACAGAAAGGTTAGCATAGGAACTTGGTGATGAATTAAAATGACAGGTGACAGGACACTCAGGGTTACAGGTGCGGACTGAAAAGGACAAAATAGACAGCTGGTCTGCATTTTGTCTCTCTAAATTTAGAGGAGATCACATTGGTTCTATTTAATATGCTGTATTCATTGTTCACAAACACAAACAAACTACTGTTTAGCACAAGAGTATGAGAGGCCTTGAATAATGATGAGAGGTGGTTGAAGACTAACATTGCATCTGTTCTGAGGAAGGGTCACCAGACCTGAAACGTTAACTCTCATTTTTAATTCACAGATGCTGCCAGACCTGCTGAGCTTTTCCAGCAACTTCTGCTTTTGTTACTGCATTTTTAGCACTTGCGTGGAAAACGTGCTATAGAAAAGTGAGGGAGCGGGGTTGGGACTGACTAAGTAGTGGTGTACAAGGTTTGCAGAGGGTATCATAGAATACCTACAGTGTGGAAGCAAGCCATTCAGCCTATCACACCCACACCAACACTCCAAAGAATATCCCACCCAAACCCAGTCCTTACCCTTCCAAATACATGCAAATCCTGTTTCTCAGAATCCCCTCCAACAACTTACCCACCATTGACATCAGGTTCACCAGTCTATAGTTCCCTGGCTTTTTGTTGGTACCCTTCTTAAATAATGACACAACATTAGCCACTCTCCAGTCTTCTGGCACCTCACCCGTTGTTGTCAATGATACAAATATCTCTACTAGGAGCCTGCCAATTTCGTCCCTAGTTTTCCACAATGTCCTGGGAAACAGTTGATCAGGTTCCATGCAGTTACCTGCCGTAATGCATTTTAAGACCTCCTGCACCTCCTCTTTCGTAATGTGGACTCTTTTCAGACATCACTTTTTTTTCCTCAAGGTCTGTAATTTCCATATATTTCCCCAGAGTAAATACGGAGGCGAAATATTTGTTTAGTTCCTCACCCATCTCCTGTGGTTACGCGCAGACAGCCTCATTAATCTTTAAAGGGCCCTTATTCTCTCCCTAGTTACTCTTTTGCCCTTATTAGACCTGAAGAATCTCTTTGGATTCTCCTTTACCCTATTTGCCAAAGCTATGCACCCTTTTTGCCTTGCAATTCAAAGGCCAAAGACGTATAATACCAAAGTCCAGAGGAATTGGTCAGATCTCAATGGGACATTTGGTTTAAGTTTCTTGTCAGCAAATACTTCAATCCACAACCAAGTTTCCTTTCACATTCAAAGGCTGATAACATGCAGGCCCTGATAAAACTAGTCAGTCCATGAGATCTAGATTATGCCAAACATCACACCAAATCTACAAGTGTTCCCATGGAACAGGCACAAACTTTCATTTTTCACAGAGTCTGAAGTAAAATACCAAAGCTAATGTCGTTGATAGTATTACCAAGTGGCACTTACACATGCTCCCTGCTGCTCCATTTTGGTTCTGCCAGGACTTCTGTTCCTCAAGCTATCACAGCCCTTGGATCAATCATGGGCAGAACAGGACTTACAGTGATGGCATCATACATCAAATAATACTTGATCTGGCAGACAACTGACCTACCTTCTTATTTGTTTCTTCTTTATAGCTCTATGCTTTGCCCTTAACCATTAGATGAATGAAAACTCAGTAGAGTTCTGACTGACAACAAGACATACCTCTACCTATTTTCATGCTCATCCCTCTCCGGGAATGGGGATTCAAATTTCAGCTTACCATTTTATTTATAATACAAAACAAGTATAATCAAATCATTTGCAAGATTAAAAAATTAAATTACTTACCAATGCATTTTCTTTTACTTCCAGGTTATTGAGAACTACATCTCCTGTGAAAGAATAGATTATTTAATTTTCATTAGAAATTAAACTTTTCACAGTGAGGGAGAGAGAAAAGTATTATCAGGAAACAGTACAGACATCTAGGCATGATACATAATCAAGCTCCAGCAGGATAGAAAATCATTGAATCCTATCTTTTAATCAATAGCAAATTTTACTTATTTTGTACAACAGAAGCACAATGAGGCTGTTACAAATAAAAGACTTCCTAACATCCTTAAAATAGGAACATGACTACATAAAGCATTTTCTATTTCAGTACAAAGATGTAATTGAGAATAGGATGACCCGATGGCTACAATATGATGAGTTTTATAGAATCCAAAGACAGTCAAGACTGACACAGAGGGTTAAACACATTGACTTTGGAGATGTCTTGAGATCAAACACATAGTCAGGGCCTTTTATTTCTTGATGCTGCAAATCATACACAATAGTAGCGAATAAAAGTACAGATACTGTAATGCATGGTGACAATTCTTGTCTCAAATTGTTTGGTTGTTTGCTCTGTTACAAACATGATAGAGATAGCAGGATCCTCCCCTACGTCCTCCATCTCTTGACTGACTGAAGATAGATGCATTTTAAGGAACTGCTCGACCTGCAATGCTATAATTCTCAACTAAAGAGTGAACTCTTGAAAAAAAGTTCATATTACAGAAGAGGAGATCTGAAACATAAAAGGAAGATAGATCCCCAGGACCTGATCACGCGTTTGCCAGAATTTTGTGGGAAGCCTGGGAAGAGACTGCTCGGTCCCTTGCTGAGATATTTGTATCATTGGTAGTCAAGTGAGGTGCCAGGAGACTGTAGGTCGGTTAATGTGGTGCCTCTATTTAAGAAAGGATGTATGGAAAAGCCAGGGAACTATAAACTGGTGAGCTTTATATCAGTGGGAGTAAATTGTTGGAGGGGATTCTGAGGGACAGGATTTACATGCATTTGGAAAGGCAAGGACTTTCAACATATCTTTGTGTGGGGAAATTGCATCTCTCTAACTTGAGTGAGTTTTTTTTGAAGACGTGACAAAGAAGATCTATGAGCATAGTTGTCTATATGGACTTCAGCGAAGTGTTCAACAAAGTTCTGCATGATAGACTGATTAGAAAGGTTAGATCACATGGGATCGGGGCGGGGGAGGGCGGTGGCTAGCCAACTGAATATAAAATTATCTTGAAGGTAGGAGACAGAGGGTGGTGATAGAAGGTCATTTTTGCACTGGAGGCCTGTGACCAGCAGAGTGCCACAAGGATCGGTGCTGAGTCCAATGCATTTTGTCATTTTTATAAATATGATTTGGATGGGAATATAACAGGGATGATCAGTAAATTTGCAGATTACACCAACTCTTTTGGTGTTGTGGACAGTGAAGAAGATTATCTCAGAGTACAAAGGAATCTTGATCAGATGGGCCAATGGAGTTTAATTTAGATAAATGTGAGATTGCATTTTGGTAAGGCAATCCAGGGCAGGACTTACACAGTTAATGGTAAAGACATGAGGAGCATTGCCAAACAAAGAGACCTAGGGATACAGGTTCATAGTTCCTTGAAAGTAGAGTCGCAAGTAGACAGAGTGGTGAAGAATATGTTTGGCATGCTTGACTTTGTAGTGGCTTGCTTCTTCACTCCAGTCAAAATACAGTCAAAGCCCTCTAACAAAAAGAAAGCAGCTGGTTACTCAATCAGTAATGGCAGGTCTTAATGGTTAATGGAGCTCCTGATGGGAGTTTAGGTAGGATTCTATTCCTTTGCTGTTCTGGAATTCTGCTTTCTTCCCATCTCCTTCTACTAGCAATGTCCTATTTAATTTTTTATTTTTATTTTTAACAGTCTGGCCATTGAAACACAATCATGCTAGAGTTTGTTCTATTTGCATATTTAATAGAAAAGGGTTTCTTCACAGCCATTCTTTGAAATTCAGAAGGCAGTAAGTCTGCAAGTCCATTGTGATCTAGTTTCTACACTATTGGTACAGTGGCAATCATGAACCCAACAGCATAGATCAATTTGATTTTAATAGATTGTCAGTTAAATGTCTCAAATTTGTCATTTGCATTTTAATGTCATGGCTCGCATCCTAGCCTGAACGTGCAGGTTAGTTTCCAAGACCTGGTGCTGTTCCATGTATATTAGCAGGAAGAGATCACCTGGCTACTCAACTCAAATTTTTTTTCAGAAGCAAAGTACCTATTCTCTACTTTTAATTTTTGAAAAGCAGAGTGTCCATTTTGATTTTATACTCTATAAATCCACAGGTCTAACTGTATGAATGTGATAGCCAAATTCTGTACAACAAAAAAAAGAGATGTGGGTGATGCTTGCAGCAGAGTACAATAGCAACAAAATAGAGGGGTGGGGTGATCCTGACAGAATTTGAGTATTGGAGGGCATGTTATTGATGAGCAGGTGCTGCTTGCAAGCACTGGTAACAACGCCTTTTATCAGTATACTACTTCTTAAAGAAACAATAGATGGATAGGAAGACAATTATCTGGATGGAATTTGTCCAGCTGAGGGAATTTTACATGCTGACCTTATCAGCGACACCCACAGTCCATGGAAAAAAATTAAGGATTTTTCACCTTACTGAGTTGAGATCATTTGTCTTTACAAGTCTTTATTTTGTTCTAAATTACTTAAAATTGATTTGGGCTGTGTCTGAGGATTTTTGCTGTTTCTTTCCCTGTTCACAGACAACAGATGTCCTATAAAATACCATAAGCTGGATAAGAGCAGAAGCCAGAGAACACTTTGTGAATTACTGTCAATGTTTCTTTATAAGCATTAACAGTGTAAAGTCTGCTGCATCTGTCTTCTGGTCATTTACTCCCTTGACCATTTCGTGATCATTAATTTTGGCAATTAACACCTAACACAAGACCTAGCACAAACTATATTGAATCAAAGAGTTGAGGAAGATCTTCTGGATGAAGAAGAAAGAATAGCTGAAGTGAAATGTCGTACCTTAAAGTGAAAAGAAGACATTATACACCATGTTGCAGCTGCTCAAGTCTAAGGTTGACATAAAATGACCACCTGGGGCTTTTTAGCTGACATAAGATGGCCAAATAAGGTTTAGCAGTTACACATAGACGTTCACAGCAAACTTGTGGTCCCCATACAGAGTTACTGAATAAGATAATTAAAGAACCCATGGGAATCAAAATAGGGTCTCGACGAGAAAAGACAGGACAACTTAATCAGATTTTGGTAAAAAAGCAGCTCTAAATACTTAAGCATTTTGATAAAGAATACCCTTGAAAGGATAAGACATACCTGTGCATTAACTACAGTCCCAAGTTTGTTATTTAGTAAAACGTAGAAGAAAAAGTCTGATCCCACAATATTTTGAACTTAAGGTGACTGCAAATTAGAAATGCAAACCTACAAACGTTAAAGCAGTGCAGTCGAATTCCTTTAAGCAGATAGTGGTAGGCAATAAAGAAAATTCCTGCTCTGTCAACCAAGACAGAAGCAGCAAATGGTGTAAACAGACCACCTCTAAAAGAGTACCAAAGCATGGCAGGGGTTAGAGAAAGGTTGCAAAGAAATAAATAATTACAGTATAATTCCGATCCTAACTTCCAAAGATCAGAGGTTACATCCTGTTAAACTTTAAGGAGTCCAAACAAGCTTCTTTTAATGACTTGGTAAAGCTGCAAAGTGATTGAAATGGACCCTCATCAGTGGACTTCAAATAAGTTCTAAAGTAAAGAAAATTAGTATGAAAAATGTTTGGAGTAGAGACAGTAAGATTTATCCAAGAATTAATCTCTTGGTTTAAACCCAATTTAGAGCTTGCAAATAGCAGAGGTCGTAAACTGCAGCTGCAAGATTGAGAAATTGTTTGTTTGATCTCCCAGGGTCAGGTGAGAGAGAAGCTGCCCCCAATTTGTCAGGCTTGTTACAGAACCATAGTATCTTTATATGTGAGTTGATCTTAAAGATTTTATAAAATTGGTAGAAATTATATCCTTTCTAATCTTCTGTATTAAGGTTAGTAAGGAATATAAATTGCAACGCAGAATTTGAAGATTTCTCAGTGATAAGCAAGTATCTAGGTTAGTGGTAATTAATGAGATGCAGCTGGCAAATGTCCAAGGAATATAACTGTCAGTACTGGAATGTGATTGTAAAATCCCAATGCGTCTCATTCAAAGACAGATGATAAAGTGTAAACATCATATCTGGTAAACATCATGAGATCATGGGAGATCGAGGGCTGTCCATAGAATTATCCATCATCAACTGTGTTTACAGTAATGGACGTGTAAATTAGGGGGGAAACAATGACATTCATGTTGCATGTAATTATTGTAACAAAATGAAAAAAACTGCTGTAATTGGCTAGGGAAGGCAGTGTCCTGGAGAGGGACCTCTTACACACTGCACTGGTCAATAACTCAGAATAAAAAGGTCAATTATGCTGCTAAACGCAGGACTCAAGACTCCTTTTTGATATCTCCCTCCAACAACACCAATGCACACAATGAGAATAATAGGTCAAATGATCAAAAGATTGGCCAAAGGAGTAGGTTTCAAAAAGTAGTTTCTTAAAAGGAGAAGCAGTGAAGTGTTGGAGGACTCTTCTGAAGCTTCATGTCTATGCAGAGAGTATGTCCACCTTAACAAGTAGAGAGCAGGGTAGGCCATTCATCTCATCAAGCCCAACCTGCTCAATATCTCTTCAGAAGCAAATACTCCCGTTTCCATGATCAACTGAACAAATCTTCACTGGAGAGCTTAAAATGTCAGTTTGTCTTTCCTTAGACAAGGAGACCTAAAGGTAAGGGGTGCTGACAGGCATTTCTGTGACCACCAATAACTCCACGTCCACTGAACAGCCACAGGGCAAACAGACAATTGTGCTATGTACAGGGGAGGTGATGGCCTAATAGTATTATTGCTAGAATATTAATCCAGCTCATGTTCTGGGGGCCCAGGTTCAAACTGCCATGGCAGTTGGTGGAATTAGGAGTCTAATG